GATCTCCTCCTCCTGCCGGGCACATGGAGGGGCAAAGGACATGTTGCAATGGGGGATGGTGCAATTAGAGAGGAGGAAAAACCCTTTCCCAGGCCCCAGCAGAGCACAGAGGTGGGGGAAGCCCATCCATCAGCAGCAGTGGGATGGATCCGGCACCCCTTCCCACCCCATGACCCAAGCGCTGCAAGCCTGTGCCGGTTCCGTCCTGGCTACTTACCGTCATGCTCGGCTCCCCCTTCTCCCCACGGAGTCCCTGGGTGCCGGGACTGCCCTAGGGACAAGCAGAAGGGAGGTGGGAGGATGGCCCTGGCTGCGGCTCGACCCAGGCAGGGCCAGGCACCTTCTCACCCACCTGCTCTCCTCTCTCGCCAGGGATGCCAGGCACACCACGGGCCCCTGGCACCGACTGTCCAGGGGGACCTCTCTCCCCCTGCAAAGAACACATGCTCAGGATCTGGCTGGTGGCTGTGGAGCCTCTCTGTGCTCCTCAGCACCACGGATGTGCTGCTTTCCCTGTCCCTGCACTCCGGGGACACCTGTGCAGGTGGGGATGGGGATGGGTCCAGCCCAGCCCCAGGACAAACAATCCCCCAGGCTCCCATACCCTGGACAGGAGGACACAAGGGAGGACCCCAAAGCCAGCGAGCTGTCAGGGCAGGGACAGAGCTGGGACATGGCTTCTGATGCCACCAACCCCTCACCCCCTCCAGGGGCAGGACCATCCCCTCCACACAGCACCCAGAGGGGGACTGGCCACCCGTGGTGGGGACTCACCTTCTGGCCCTGTATGCCCTCGGGACCTCGTGGGCCAATGCTCCCTGGGGGACCGGGGGGACCAGGAGCACCGTCACTACCCCGGGGACCAGGGCCACCAATAATGCCTGGGGCACCCTGTGGGAGAGCAGAGGGTGAGGCTGGGGGTGTCGGAACCCCCCAGCCCCAGAGCAGGGACCATGGCCATCGTCCGACCCCACAGCTGGGCATCCCCAAAGCACCAGCACCAGTGCCTTCTTGTAAAGAGTGGGAATTTGTTGTCACTTATAATTTAGTGACATAATCTAGAGCAGTGCCAGATGGCTCTTCTGGGAACATCAGGCTCTGATGTGCTTCTGACCAAGGCCGGATCCTGGTAAAAGCAATGTGGTGCAACGTATACCATCCCTTTCCAGCCCACTCACCCGGTCTCCTTTCTCCCCCTGGTCTCCTTTGGCTCCCTGCTGCCCGTCGAATCCCCGGTCACCCTGTGAAGAGGAAGGGGCAGGCAGCCGGGGACAGGCAGCCGGGGTCAGGCAGCTGGTGGGGTTGAAGTGCCAGCGCAGCTTTTGCCAGCACCGCGCTGACCTACCTTGGGTCCCATGAGCCCCTCCTTCCCGGGGATGCCTGGTGGTCCCGACAGACCCAGCTCTCCCTGGGGGACAAAGCAGGTGTCTGTCAGCCACCAGCCGCATGTTCCCGTCCCACCCCGGTGTCAACACGGTGCTTACCGGTTCGCCTTTCCTCCCCGGCAGCCCCGAGCGCCCTGGGATCCCTGGCTCTCCCTACAGCAGGCAGGAGAGAGGCAGGGCGGTCAGTCCTGCGACCCTCAGTGCTCACCCCTGAGCCATAGGCAGAGGAGGGGACCCTGTGCCCCTGCCGTGGGGCTGAGCTCTGGCCTCAGCTGTCTCCCTGCTCCCCCCGGCTGGTGGAGGGGATCCAAAGGGCCGCAGCCTCCAGGCAACATCCAGGCTCCTGCGGCACCCCACGGGCACCCACTCACCTTCTCGCCCTTGTCCCCATTGATGCCGCAGGCGCCTTTCATGCCCCGGTCACCCTGTGAGGATGAGGAGGGGAGTCAGAGCCACGCCAAGCCGGCGTGGGTCCTGGCCAGGAGAGCACCGGCAGGCAGAGGGGCCAACCTACCTTGGGGCCACGCATGCCCAGGGGTCCCATGTCACCCTTCTCTCCCCGGGCTCCGGGGATCCCGTTGCGGCCAGGCTGGCCCTGCAGAAGAGCACACAGCATGACGGGGGTCCGCTCCTGCCCCACGGCGGGGTGGGAGCGGCACCCAGAAGGCGGTCCCCCCCCGCCGCAAGGTGCTCCTGACACTCCAACCTCTCCCTGGGGAAGGCAAACGCATTGGTCAGGGCAGGCGAGGGGGATGGTGCCCCCAGCACCCCCCCCAGCAGTGGGGGGTGCCCAGCTCCTTACCTTCTGCCCTCCAGGGCCGCGTGCCCCGGGGAAGCCCGTGGAGCCCTTCTCACCTTGCTCACCCCTCGCCCCCTGCAAGCAGAAACCCAAATCAACACAGGGCAGGAGGGAGAGCTCTGGCCATGGCATGGCCACAGCAACCTCCAAGGCCGGCTCCAGCAGCTTCCCCTGCTGGGGTGCTGAGCACCATGCCAGGGTGCCCACAAGCACCAGCACATGGGGCACAGGGATGCCATCATGCCCTGGTCCCTCTGTCCATTGCCCTGTCAACAGCCCTCCATGGCCCCCTGCAACAGCCCAGCAGCCCCCCAACCCCGCACAAGATCCTCCAGCACTGTACCTTCTCTCCAGGCATGCCTTGCTCCCCCTTGTCCCCCTTGTCCCCTTCTGTGCCCTTCAGGCCACGCTCTCCCTGCAAAAGGGGAAACACAGAAAGGGGTCAGGGGATGGGGAGATGCTCAGTCACACATCGGGGTGGGGAGGACAGAACTCCCTGGGGCAGGGACACAGGGGTCCATAGGGTGGCTGAAGGAGAGGGAACAACGTGCTCTGCGAGGGAGAGTCCCTGGGCAGCAAGAAGCACCCCGAGCTCTTCTGGCAGACAGAGGTGGGGGGGGCTGTCCTGTGTCACTCGGGAGAGGGGGTGCAGGATCAAACCCGCAGGGCTGGGAGCTGCCCTGCGCCAGGAACAGGGCAGGCAGGGCTTTGGGGAGGGCGATGCACAGGAGGGCCCCAGCCCATCAGGACAAGAGGGATGACGCAGAGGGGGACAGGGAGGATGGGGACATCTCTTACCGGCTCCCCCTTGCTGCCCCGCGCTCCGGCAGGCCCCTCCACCACTGCAGTATCGCCCTGCACACCCGAAGGAGAGAGGTGGGTGTGAGCGGGGGGACCAGCACTGCTGTGCTCCCTCCTGCTGCCCCCAACTCCGGGGACTCACCTTGTCTCCTTTGGGCCCTGGGGCCCCAGCATCTCCCTGTAAAGAAGGGGAGACAGTGAGACATTGCAAGGATGCACGGCGGGGAGTAGGCAGCACCTCCCTGGGGACCCCAATCCCTGGGGGTGCATCAGTCACCCCCCTCCAGCTCCCCAGCCCCCAGAGTCCCTTACCTTGTCCCCACGCGCCCCCCGGTTCCCAGGCAAACCCTGCAGGAGAGAGGAGAGG